GATTAAGGGTTTGGCCCTTACACCATTTCTTTTCATGGCATCCCCACCTACTACCCCATAACATCAATATATGCCCCCCCAGTATAAAAATGACACAATGAAAATTTGTGATATTAGAATTTATTAAAAAAAAAAAAAAAAAACTCCAGGAGCTTCTTTAAGTAAGCGTACCCTAAAAGAGGGACAGATTGACAGAAAGAGAGACAAAAAGGTGAAGAGACAATGACACGTATGGTAATTCAGACAATCTCAGAGTGATAACATGAATGGTAACTCTGGTAAATGTTAACATTTGGGCCCGCTCTTTTCTTCCCCCATCTCTGTCCAAAGTGAGCAGCAGCCATCTTTGATGAACTTTTCAATCTCTCCATCTGATGGACTGCCAGTACTTGCATTTCTTTGCACTGATTGAAAAAGAGATCAGTCACAATACTATAGACGTCAAATTCAATTCCTGGAGGGCTGCAGCTCTGCAGAGTTTAGCTTCAACCAGCTCCAGCTCACACCTGCTTGGAAGTTTCTAGTAATCCTGAAGACCTTGATTAGCTGGATCAGGTGTGCTTGATTATGGTTGGAGCTAAACTCTAGCACTATGTCAGCAAACTCACAATTATAGCTTCATTATAAATAGACATTACTTTGATATTATATGTGTAGAATGGTTTATTAAAATATAATGTTATATGTTAGATTATCAAATGATTACTCACCAGTGTATTAAGTTATTTTGGTCTTCTGGCAATTAGCAGCACAAAAAGCCTGTCAGGTTTTGTTATTAAATGTCAAAGCTAGTGCGCATGTCTTGAAACTCATATAGCAAAAATAATGTTTACGTTCCCTCAACCACTTTAAGCTTGTTTTATTATATGAATTAAATCATTAATTTCCAAATGTAGTTAAAGAAAAAAGAGAATGTTGGATAAAAGGAAAAAAATATTATTAGGAATTAAAATAAAAAATACACTAACACGTACCATAACATGGGCAGGTAAAAGATGTTTAAGTTTAAGTGTCACTGCTACATACTATTTAGCACATTGTAAATGGAGACCTACCCCCAGCACTCAACCTAAACTGGTCCAGGCCTGCATGCCCATATCTCTGCCAAAATCAGACCAGCCCTTATGGTCCGTAATCGGGCCGAATGTGGCTAAATGTGCCGTGTCTCAGTGCAAATCGGGCCAGGTCTGCACATCCAAAGCCTAGCCAAATCTGGCAACCATTACTGGGCCAGAGCTGGCTCACTTTCGGTGAGCTGCTGCCAGAACACAGCCGACACTCAGCCGCAATTGGCCCGATTACGCTGGCTACCTGGGAAAGGTCATGGGCTTGATTCCTGAATGCATGAACTGATAAAATGTATACCTTGAATGCTTTTGAACATCTGCCAAATGCATAAATATAAACCTTTTTTCCAGGTGTTTGCCATCTTTGCATTCTCCACCTGTGGGAGCTACTCCGGCTCCTTCAGAATGAGCGTGGAGTGCAGAAACAGATCAGACAGTGACCTGAAAATAGATGTGGATTTTGAGTATCCCTTCAGGTAGCACTGTCTTTTTAGACCTGTGTGGCCATACCAAAGTTGTACTTGTTCATCAGTATGCATTTACTTTTTCAAGAACAGCTTTTAATGCAGTAGGGTAGAGTGGGGGAAAAGCCCCCCCTACTGTTTTTCCCAAAATAACCACTAGATAAAGTCAAGATACATTTTTGTTGTAACTATGGACTGTGTTGACAAGAGTGATCTAGAAGTATTCATCGTGAAGCTCACACTGCTGATGAACCTGAGAGAAAACAGATTTCACAGGAAGTGATCTAATTTTCAGCAGAATAAGAAAAAAGTGTTTAAAAGTGTTTTAAAGCTTGTTGTTTTGTAGAACATCACAGTTACAGTGGGTATAGAAAAGAATCACCCCCTTAAAAATAATAAAAAAATATTTTTTTATAGGCTTTGCAGCCTGAAATGAAGATGGACACTGTTTATTTTATCACAGTTGTTTTATCCAGCTGTATTTACTCAGTGCAACTAATAACGTCCAAGTGAAAGATATAACACCAACATGTGAGGGGGAAAAAAATCAGAATCACCGATTTGGAAAAAGGATCACCCCCCTTGTGTCAGTATTTTGTTGAACGACCTTTTGCTTTAATTACAGCCTTTAGTCTGTTGGGATATGTCTCTACTAACTTTGCACATCTAGACTTTGCTATATTTGCCCACTCTTCTTTGCAGAACTGCTCAATTTCAGTTAAATTTGATGGAGACTGTTTGTGGACTACAGTCTTCAAGTCATTCTGACTACAGTAGTAGTAGCAGTCATGCAAGGACATTCACCTTTTTCTCCTTCAACCACGGTGTGCTCAGTTTTGCTGTGTACTTTGGGTCATTGTCATGTTGGAAGGTAAACCTTCTCATTGACAACTTTCTGGCAGAGGGCAGCAGATTTTCCTCAAGAATTTGACGGTATTTTGCCCCATCCATTTTCAGATTTTCCTCAAGAATTTGATGGTATTTTGCCCCATCCATTATTTCTTCTATCCTGACAAGTGCTCCAGTCCCTGCTGCAGAGAAACACTCCCATAACAGGACATTACCACCTCCATGCTTTACTGTAGGAATAGTGTTATTTGGATGGTGAGCTGTATTGGATTTCCACCAGACATATCGTTTGGTGTTGAGGCGAAATAATTCAATTTTAGTCTCATCTGCCTCAGAATCAGATTCAGAAGGTGCATTTTGGCAAAGCTCAGTCGTAACTGCATGTGGTCTGTCTTGAGGAGTGGCTTTTTTCTTGCAACCCTCCCATACAAGCCACATTTGTGGAGAATTTGTGATATTGTTGTCACATGCACACAATGACCACTCTTTGTCATAATTTCCTGCAACTGCTTCAGAGTTGCTGTAGGCCTCTTGGTAGCCTCTCTGACCAGTTTCCTCCTCGCTCTTTCATCCAGTTTGGAGTGACGTCCTGATCCAGGTGGGGTCTGTTGTACCAAATACCTTCCACTTCTTAATAGCCTAATAGACTTCACTGTGCTTCTAGGCATTGATAAAGTCTTTGAAATTTTTTTGCATCCATCTCCTGACTTGTGCCTGTCCACAACTTTATCCCGGAGATCTTTTGACAGTGTCTTACCACCCATAGTTGATTGTTTGCTTCAGTTGCACTACCAAGGACTGACATACTCCAGGAGCGCTCTTTTCATGCTGAGCTAATCAAAATGACCACAGCTCATCACAGGTGAAAGTCAAATGGTTTTGTGTGCCATTGAGAAGGTGATAAGCTACACCTGATTGAGTCATTTAGGAGGGGGGGTCATCCTTTTTCCAACTCAGTGATTCTGTTTTTTAATTTTTTTATTTTTTCTGACATGTTGCTGTTATATCTTTCAGTTGGAAGATAAGTTGCACTGAGTAAATACAGCTAGATAAAACAAAAACTCTGTCTGCCTTCATTTCAGGCTGCAAAGCAACAAAATGTGATTATTTTAAAGGGTGGTGATTCTTTTCTATAACCACAGTATATATGATATGAGAATAGTAAGGCCTGTAGATAAGGAGTACGTGCTATTTAAGAAAAATATAATTATATTTTCAGAATTAATTTTTTTTTTTTTAAACAGTCTATGGGGTAAAATGCCCCCAGGGGACATGGCTTAATTGCTGTAGTTACTCTGTTCTGAACATCAGGTCCTTTGTTTTTCCATCATATGTATTTTAACTAGTTGGTTGAATAAATGTAACAATTACCTCAAGTTAGCATCAGGTAGCTAGTTAGCTAGCCAGTTATCATCGGCTAACAATATTTTTCAAATAGGCTATTATAATTTTGTAATTCATAATTATTGATTATATTATTTTTAATGTTATGGTAAAACTGCATGTACTCTGATTTTGCTGTAAATGTATTAAACAAATTGCTTTGTCAGACTGGGGGCATTTTACCCCACCTGTGGGGCAAAACGCTCCCTTGGTACAAATTACATTTTTGTTAAAAATCTAATAACATGAAAACTCTGGACATTTTTCATACTTGATTTATAATTTATGTCATTGTCATTAAAACTATGATAACTATTCTGGAGACATTTAACTTTTGTTAAGGGGGGCATCTCCCCCCAGTCTACCCTACAAACCCTCTGGTGTTTTACTTGGCAGGGTTTTCAAATTATGAAATGCCAAAGCCCCCCCCCACACTATTTTTGTATTATTATAAAAATATATAGTATTTTTCTTGGAACCACATTTTGAAACCTGTTTTATTAAATTCTAGTGCTTCTGGGCGATTGTTTGCGATCCCAAGTACACTAAATATGTAATTTCTCCTTTTCCTTTTGGTTCATAATCCAAGCTGAACTGTTTCTCTAGCCCACTGAGATGTGGTATAATCACTCTAAATTAGGTTAAGTTGGAAATGTGCTGAGATGTCCAACGTTGAAGGTATTATGGTTCTCTCGGTAACCCTGTTCCCCTCTATCTCCTCCAGGCTTCATCAAGTGTATTTTGATGCCCCCGCCTGCAAGAACGGCCAAAATGACCGCTTCTTCCTGGTTGGGGATTACTCATCCTCAGCAGAGTTCTTTGTCACCATAGGCGTTTTTGCATTCCTGTATTCCATGGCAGCTCTCAGCATCTATATCTTTGCCTTTGAGAAGTACCGTGAGAACAATAAAGGACCACTGATTGTGAGTTTTCTTCAATGATACATGAGCACTAACAGTTTGTTAAAAGCTTGGTTCACCCAAAAACTACAAATCTGCTATTATTTACTCACCCTATATTACCATAGACCTTGTATAATTAGAAATGGCCAAATTGTCCCCCCAAATATTTGAAATTCTTGCACTCTGTTTATTTAGAATAAAAAGGTTTAAAAATTAAATTTTTAGGCTGGTCTGCCTCAGCGATCTAACAGTGCTTGTCATTGTCAAAATGATTGAGATGGCCAATCAAATCAAAGTAAGCAGGCAAAAGAGCAAGATTAAGATGGAAGTAGTAAAACATTAAATATTTGACAACTGTTTTACAACAGAAATGTTAAACAACCAACGGTAATATCTAGCAATGCAAACTACTCAACTTTTTTTTTTTAACAAACGTGGCAGTTTTGAATTGAAGATATGATATAATTTACACGATGCATGATATTCCTAACTGAATGTGATGAGACCAGAAATGCGTTTTTGACATATTAAGGCATACAAATAAGTGTGTGTATTTTATAATATTATCAAAATGATTGCTTCCATACTAGAATTAGACTTAGCATTTCCTTCACTGTTCTGTTCTATTCTAAAAATCTTCAAGACATGGTTATGGCCTTGATATGGACCACTTATTGGCCCCCGGTCACTATGAACTAATAATAAAAATAATTAGCATGGGGTTTTTGTAATGACATGAGGGTGAGTAAATAAAGCATTTTGGTTGAATTATTGACATACTGTAGCAGCTCAGTGTTTCATACAACACAAGCCTATATATTTACATATAATTCTAAATAAATAATATGATTGCAGGATTTTGGTGTGACATGTGTATTCACCTTCATGTGGCTGGTGAGCTCGGCAGCATGGGCAAAGGGTTTGTCTGATGTCAAGACAGCTACAGACCCAGAGAAGGTCCAAGATCTTATCCCCGCTTGTGAACAGGAAGGCAACCGCTGCCGTGAAGTTTACGACCCCGTCATATCTGGTCTTAATACTTCTGTGGTGAGTCAGTTCTGCTTGGCCGTACAGGAAATTCCCTTATTGATAAAAAATACATTTCTATGCAGTTCTTCTAATGTCTCTTGAGATTAGAACAAACTTTTAAATTGAATTAACTTTATTTTTATTTATTTTTCTCTCCAGGTCTTTGGCTTTCTCAACCTGATCTTGTGGACAGGTAACCTGTGGTTTGTATTCAAGGAGACTGGGATCATCGCACCATTTATGCGTCAACAGCCTGCGCAGGAGAAGCAGCCCGCCCCTGATTCCTACGGGCAGGGAGGTTATGAGCAGCGGGACCCGTACGCCGGCTCCCAGGGTGGCTACCAGCCCGATTACAGCCAGCAAGGCTACAATCAGGGTGGAGACTACGGTCAGGGAGGATATGACCAGCAGGGGGCACCCACCTCCTTTTCCAACCAGATGTGAGCGAAGAAATATCTGCGGAAGCGGGAGATGGCTGGTGAGTGGAGATGTGATGCTTTAATATTGATGGTTTAGTATTGGCCGACATTGGATATTTAATCGTGCCTTTTTGCTTTAAGATTCCTTTTAGCTCACCTAAAGATAATCCTTAAAAACACAAATAATTTGTTTAACTGTTAATTTTAATTTTTTATGTCTTAAAATTAGGGCTGCCACTAACGACTATTTTTATTTTGATTAATCAAAAGTAAAGTGCAACATAGAGTGCAAGAAGCAAGTGTCCATCTCATAGTCCAAATCACTGAAATCAAAGTTCAGTATTATAGTGTAAGAATGACAACATATCCACGTGTTCTGATCTACTAATAATACAATTATAATCAAAATAACACTTTTTAAAGGAGTATTTACCAGAAATGTTATTTACCAGAATTTATTTAGGAGAAAAAATGTAAATGTGCAGTATTTCTGGGAAAAAAAAAGAAGAAAAAAAATGTTTTTCTTTTTTTTTTTAATAAAATCAATTAATTGGAGATGCTTTTGATTATTACAATTTTATGGAACCATTAAAATGGGAATCCAAAAAATAATGGAAAACATAATTTGGTAAAGATAAAACTGTAAAACTCAATTAATTAGACAGGCTTTTTGATTAATAAAATTTAATTTAACCATTATAGAAAATGAAAATGGAAAAAAACTGAATTTGGAAATAAAACGTATTTCATAGGGCCCTATAATTATAATTATTTTTTTTTGTGGTAATAAAAATAGATGTAAGTGAACAATAGCCTTTAAAATTACTTAAAATACATATATAATAGCAATGAGGCAATAATAATTAGTTCAAATAAAGTATTAAAAGCAAGAAATCATCGAGGAATCGCGACAGCCCTACTTAAAATTAAATACTCCTTTTTTTATACCGTATATTATAATGTTGGGATGTCTAAATTCACTTGTAGCATTTTAAACATTTGATTTTAGATTTTACTATTTAATTTCCTATTTATTTACACAAAATAGTATATAATTTATCGGTTATTGACCAGGATTTTAATATCAGCATAATCTCAAATGGTGTGTCTCTCTGTCTCTCCACAGAAAGAAGTTGATCGTGTGACTCTAGCAGTGTGGTGCCTGAACCCTACCCACAACCCCACACTTCTCCCTGTTTGTGCGTCTGTGCTTACGTCTGTGAAAGATAAGAGGGGCGGGAGGGAGGGAAGGGGACAGGGTCTAATCTCAAATCACATATAGATGGGAGGGGGATAGAGAGGAGGGATTTTAATGTGCTGTTTATTATTGTGATGTATACAAATAAAAAAGTTTGATCAAATTTCAAAACACTTGAATACTGTACCAAACTATGAAAAGTATATGAATCCTATTTCTATATGAATTTTGAATTAATGATGTTGACAATAGTAATGCTAAACTTGAGAGAATGTATTTGTCTGTGCTGTATAGATATCATTATAAACTAATATATATAAATATAAATATTTCCTAAGGATATATATGGGATTATTCCACTGTAGTCTAGTTAAATTTAGAGACCCTAAATAAATATAATAACAATAACGTGAAAAATTCACAAAGCCCCACAGAATTTGTTCCTTGAAAATGTTTACTTCTGGTGGGTCGTGGTTTGGTACAGTTTGTTCCATTTCTATGTTGACCTCTTGTTGGGTATTTTGTTGGTTTTTATTTCTTCATGGGTGGGATGGAGCACTGATGTGACTGAGACTGAGGCGGTGGGGAGCGTCCAGGGCTCATGGAGGGACCACATTATTTCAACCAGCAAGCAAAACGGTCAAGGGTATCTTAAAGCATTTCTCATTTCCTGACTGAAAATGTTGACTTTGTTTAGTTCTCTCTCTCTCTCAAATCTTTGTCTTTTGAAAAGCACATGCGTTCTCAGTGCAGAATTAGCGTGGTTGTTCATGACACAATGCATCTGAGTGCTGTGTTGATGTAGTGCTGTTTAAGTTAGAGGATGCTAAAAATAGATATATGAATATATATAGACTGGGGTTTTGTTTGTGTTTTGTGAGCACCGGACAGAGAGAATCAATCCTGTGTGTGGAGATGTCAGTAATGTAGATATACGTGCCAGTTTCAATTTCATCGATATGTTCTTGTTTCCCTCTCTCAAAAGCATATACTATATTTCAGGATTTAAGCCTGTGATATTGAGGTATATTTTCAGATGTAAATATAAAAATATATATAAAGTACCTGCACATTCGTTAACGAATATCAGGAACTGCTGTAGTGTGAAATTTCCATGATTGGCATCAAAGCATCACCCGAATGCCAGTTTAGATTATTTTTCTGCTTGATCAATCATTCAAAATGCAGATGATCAAAAATATCTGGTGTATATGATAGCTTGACCTCTCGGCCAGAATCAAGGGGGTCATTTAAATTATCTATGAAATATCATTTGAACCGCGTTTATGGCAGGTAACTGATGCAATAAAGTCTTTTGTTTTGTATAGTATTCAAACAGTATATATTAAAGTCTAGCACTTTCAGATGCAAGGATGCTGAGTAAACATCTTATTAATCTAGTAAATGCACCAGATTAGTTTTTGCCCTGGGTTGATCATCATTTCATTTAGGGCTGATGCAGCAGACGTTGTTATGATGAGATCCTTTATATTATTGCATGATCAAATGCTCATAATGCAAGCTTGCCGAGACTTATAACTATCTATTTAAATTATTTTTTTTGGATTCTTTAATTTGCCTGCGACTTTGAGGAAAACCAGGTTTCGCTTTTGGGTAGAAGGCCGTCGGCCTGCTAAATGTATTAGCGTGTCTCTCCCTCCCTCCCTCATTCTCTCTCTCTTTCTCTCTCTTTCTCTTCCATTCTCTGCTCTGGCCCACTCTTCTCCTCCTCCAAATGAATATGCTACTCAACTTCTCCGTTGTTAGTGGTGTTTGATATGTCTTGTGAAACTCTCGATGCCTTTGGGTTGTGCTGTATTTAATGTGTATGATATATTCTTAGCGTTTATGAAGATATTGATGAAAATGGTTATGACCATGCTGAAAACTCAATCACCAAAATTATCCAGAAATTCTGTTGTATTGTTCTATGGAATCCATGAAGGAAAAATTCAATAAAGAATAAGTTATCTTGTTGAAAAAAGTTTTTTTTTTGTTGCTTCTATGATTCAATACTTACAATAAAATAGGATGTTTTCTATTTAATGATAACAAAATGAACAAATGTTTATTTCATCCTTATATGATTTACAACAACGACAATACAAAATGTTTAGTTATGCAGATCAAATTCATAACACTTTTTAAAGCAGCAACCAGATGCAAGATGGAAGAATCAACATATTCCTCTCTTGAAACTAAAATCACACATTCTAATATATAACTATCAAAACAAAAGAGACTCTGTAATATCTTCTTTTATTTTATTTATATTATTATTTGTTATGTATTTATTTTATTTATTTATTTATCTTTGAGTTTTTGTTCAATCTAGTGGTTGAGAGAACATTTACTGTATGTGTCACTTACTAGTAGGGTTGCCAGGTCTGCATATCAAAACCAGCCCAATTGCTAATCAAAACTAGTTGTGTACACACACCAGGATCATATAATTATTAAATTTATATGTATTTTTTTTAAAGATTATTCCACTGTAGTCTAGTCAAATTTAGAGACCTTAAATAAATATAATAATAATGATAATAATGTGAAAAAATTCACAAAGCCCCACATAATTTGTTCCTTGGAAATGTTTACCTCTGGTTGGTCGTGGTTTGGTAGAGTTTATTCCATTTCTATGTTGACCTCTTTTGTTTGGTATTTTGTTGGTTTTTATTTCTTCATGGGTGGGATGGAGCACTGATGTGACTGAGACTGAGGTGGTGGGGGGCGTCCAAGGCTACCGTGGGCAGAATCATTCCAAACTCATTGAGGGACCACATTATTTCAACCAGCAAGCAAAACGGTCTAGTGTATCTTAAAGCATTTCACATTTCCTGACTGAAAATGTTGACTTTGTTTAGTTCTCTCTCTCTCTCAAATCTTTGTCTTTTGAAAAGCACATGCGTTCTCAGTGCAGAAATAGCATGGTTGTTCATGACACAATGCCTCTGAGTGCTGTGTTGATGTAGTGCTGTTTAAGTTAGAGGATGCTAAAAATAGATATATGAATATATATAGACTGGGGTTTTGTTTGTGTTTTGTGAGCACCGGACAGAGAGAATCAATCCTGTGTGTGGAGATGTCAGTAATGTAGATATACGTGCCAGTTTCAATTTCATCGATATGTTCTTGTTTCCCTCTCTCAAAAGCATATACTATATTTCAGGATTTAAGCCTGTGATATTGAGGTATATTTTCAGATGTAAATATAAAAATATATATAAAGTACCTGCACATTCGTTAACGAATATCAGGAACTGCTGTAGTGTGAAATTTCCATGATTGGCATCAAAGCATCACCCGAATGCCAGTTTAGATTATTTTTCTGCTTGATCAATCATTCAAAATGCAGATGATCAAAAATATCTGGTGTATATGATAGCTTGACCTCTCGGCCAGAATCAAGGGGGTCATTTAAATTATCTATGAAATATCATTTGAACCGCGTTTATGGCAGGTAACTGATGCAATAAAGTCTTTTGTTTTGTATAGTATTCAAACAGTATATATTAAAGTCTAGCACTTTCAGATGCAAGGATGCTGAGTAAACATCTTATTAATCTAGTAAATGCACCAGATTAGTTTTTGCCCTGGGTTGATCATCATTTCATTTAGGGCTGATGCAGCAGACGTTGTTATGATGAGATCCTTTATATTATTGCATGATCAAATGCTCATAATGCAAGCTTGCCGAGACTTATAACTATCTATTTAAATTATTTTTTTTGGATTCTTTAATTTGCCTGCGACTTTGAGGAAAACCAGGTTTCGCTTTTGGGTAGAAGGCCGTCGGCCTGCTAAATGTATTAGCGTGTCTCTCCCTCCCTCCCTCATTCTCTCTCTCTTTCTCTCTCTTTCTCTTCCATTCTCTGCTCTGGCCCACTCTTCTCCTCCTCCAAATGAATATGCTACTCAACTTCTCCGTTGTTAGTGGTGTTTGATATGTCTTGTGAAACTCTCGATGCCTTTGGGTTGTGCTGTATTTAATGTGTATGATATATTCTTAGCGTTTATGAAGATATTGATGAAAATGGTTATGACCATGCTGAAAACTCAATCACCAAAATTATCCAGAAATTCTGTTGTATTGTTCTATGGAATCCATGAAGGAAAAATTCAATAAAGAATAAGTTATCTTGTTGAAAAAAGTTTTTTTTTTGTTGCTTCTATGATTCAATACTTACAATAAAATAGGATGTTTTCTATTTAATGATAACAAAATGAACAAATGTTTATTTCATCCTTATATGATTTACAACAACGACAATACAAAATGTTTAGTTATGCAGATCAAATTCATAACACTTTTTAAAGCAGCAACCAGATGCAAGATGGAAGAATCAACATATTCCTCTCTTGAAACTAAAATCACACATTCTAATATATAACTATCAAAACAAAAGAGACTCTGTAATATCTTCTTTTATTTTATTTATATTATTATTTGTTATGTATTTATTTTATTTATTTATTTATCTTTGAGTTTTTGTTCAATCTAGTGGTTGAGAGAACATTTACTGTATGTGTCACTTACTAGTAGGGTTGCCAGGTCTGCATATCAAAACCAGCCCAATTGCTAATCAAAACTAGTTGTGTACACACACCAGGATCATATAATTATTAAATTTATATGTATTTTTTTTAAATGTTAAAAATACTTATGTATTTAATAACTAACCAGTAACTTTAATAATTCATAATAAGACAGTTACCAATTAATTTTTTTTTTCAGCATCAACAAAAGCCATTGCTGCAAATGTGGGTCAGACCCTGCATCTGACCTGAAATTTCTGTTTATTTACACTGCTCATGTACGTATTTACACAAAATTGCATAATGTAAATAGTCTATAAATTAAAAAATAAAAATAAATAAATAATAAGAACAAATAAAAGGTGAAGTTGCAATATCATCACAAAATTGTTGATTATTGCTCTTTATATTGTAATAATGATCATTAATGTCGATTAATACAAAGTTTTTTTGAGGGGGGAAAGAGCATTCATTACATTGAGGTCCAAGCGGCTACTTCAGTCTAATATGAGTTATGCACTTTCGCAAAAACTCCAGTTACAATCACTGAAGCTGTCTAAATGGCAAAATGAATCATTTACTTGCATCTTTTCTGTACTTAGTTGTTCATGACCATGCGAGAATTATTGAATGTATTCAGTGAGCACGCCCACTAAACAACGTTCACCGCGGTAACGAATCAAAATGCCTCTGATCGGACATTGCATTCATAAGCTCAACAGAAACGTGTTTAATCGGTTATGAAGCTCAAGTAAACCAAGTCAAAACATCCTGCAGCAGGATGCCAAGGGGAAAACCGCGGACTTGGCAACAGGAGACACTGCTTACTAGTAAGCAACAGTAGCAGAGATAATGAGATAACGGGGAATCTTATATGCGTCATTTACTGTTACTCGTATGGGTGTAAGTGTATTATGTGGTGCAATTATGTACAGTATGTGATTAGTTTCGCCTCTGCTCGCTGCGGTTTTATTTCATAAAGCACCATTGTGAAAGCATCCCATCAACAGCTTCTTTTCAGTTAATTCATGCATCAAACATATCAATCGACTAGGTTTTTAAATAATGTATAACCCTCTATAATAATAGGCTATAGAATATTTAGTTATATATATTGGTTCAATGTGTATTTAAGTTTTATGCTTAACAAGTTTGTTGTAAAGATTGTGACAACTACCTGAGGACATGCTCGAAATTTTACTGTGTGTTCATTTTAGCCTAGTTAAAGATGTAATATGTAACCTTTTCGGTTTTAAAATACAGAGCTTCATATCTGAACAACGTTTTATCTCTCCTTGACTGCCCTGTAAAATAACATGTATAAATGCAGTTTGATATAGGTCATAAGTGTGTGTGTGTGTGTGTGTGTGTGTGTGTGTGTGTGTACTGGTTTGGGTGGTTTATGAGGACACAAATTTGTATAATGACCTGGGTCTGACAAGTGGTTTATGAGGACACTACCCGTGTCCCCGTAATTCAAAAGTCTTAAAAAACATACTAAATGGTAAATTTTGAAAATCTAAAAATGCACAGTTTTCTGTGAGGGGTATAGGTTTAGGTATAGGGTTGGTGTAGGGCGATAGAAAATACAGTTTGTACAGTATAAAAACCGTTACGCCTTGTGTGTTATTGATGATATGTTATAAACTAATGCAATATCAAAGTACATTTATATATGTTATTTAATATTGTATCTTATTGTATATAATTACGTGTAAGCAGGGTCGCCGTAATGGGGGGGAAGGTTAGGACGATTCCAAGGGCCCGATGAGGGAGAGGGGGCCAGGAACGCGATTATTACGGCACCCCTGAGTGTAAGTATACTTTTTTTTTTTTTTGAGCATTATGCACACATTGTTATTGTATGTTTTAATTAATTAATTTTTTTAAATAGGCTCTGTAAAGCAGTGTCCTTTGTATGCTACTTTTGGGGCTGCATTACAGCTGGCCTGGGCCATTGTCATATTCATCATTTATGCCATGGACCTACCTACCTTCACTTACTGTTGATTTATTTCCAATGGATGGTAAAAAAAAAAATATATATATATATTAATGTACTAGATATTGGATTATCATGATTTTATTTTTTTGGCCAATTATTACTTGCCCACCATGTTATAAGTGCAGCTAACTTAATACCTTTTATTCTCAACTTCTTCCTTTACATTTTTTACTGAAAAATACATTTTAAAAAGGAAAAGAAAAAAAGTCATATGTTCTCCTTCGTTTTGTAGGACTTATTCAGAGCAACCACAGGCTCGCTCCTCCTTGTTACTTCTCTTGTCTGTCTTAGCTGGGGATGGGCATGTTCTGGGGAATTATTATGGGAAATTAGCAAAGATTTTTAGGCTGAAGTTTGTGGCTGAAAGGATAATCTTAAAAGAAAAAGTAAAAAAAAGTTTTCGGTTACTCGGCCCTGAAATGGATATCTAATGGTGTTGCTGT